CCCTCTCATTCCCTTCATATCCTGCATGTGCTTTTATCCAGTGAAGCTTAATATTATGTATATCTTTCAATTGTGCATATGTCTTTTTTATTTCAAATACAAGAGAGTTTTTACTTTCAGGACCCGAGAGGGTCTGTAGCACCGACAATGCATCAGAATAAATATTTATATTATATCTAATTTTCAATGTGCCTTTAATCCAATTGAGAGCTTCAAAAATAGCATACATTTCTGCTTGATAGACAGAATTCATAGAATTTAAACGAAATTTCCAATTTTGTATTTCAATTCCATAGAAGAATACCACGATCGCACCTCCAATACCCCCCTCGAGTCCTGAACCATCTGTGAAAATATTCATTTCCTGACATTCGAGAAATGCACAGTCATAAGGAATCAAAATCTTATTACTAGGATGAATACAATCATCATCAAAATTTAGAAACGCTTCACTTTTAATAACACATTCATTTATATCTATATGATCAACCAAATTATTCGAAAGTAAAAATTTTTTATAATAAAAATTATACTGGAATGAGAGGGGCGGGACACCAGCAAGGAGGCAGACCACCTCTGTAGAGACTGTCCTGAAGACTCTCGTAACTGCCAGCATCCAGCTTCTCTGCAAAGTATTCAATTTATCTCGCAAGCGGATCAACTCCCCTGCCCTAGCACCCCAAGCACCTATTCCATAGAAAATCTTAGGTAAGATAACACTGTTAAAAATTCTCTTCAGTATCGGCGCTTTTTTATGCAAAGTTTCTGTATTAAAAGTACTACGATAAAAATGTAAAATTCTATCAGTTTCTCTATGTATAGATTTAAAATGTTCAATAAAATTTAGCTTTTCATCTATAATAACACCCAGATATTTTATATTTCTCTGAAAACGGATATTCTTACCCTCAAATTTCAATTTTGGTGCTCTAGTTCTAGCACCCCCTCTAGGAAAGAAAAGTCCAAAAGTCTTTTCCACATTAAAATAAATATTTTCAGATTTACTCCACTTCAACATCTGCTCTTCAACTTTTATAAAGGTATGTTGTATTTTTTCCAGAGAGGAGCCCTTAATAATAAGCAGAATATCATCTGCATAACAAATTATTTCTGCATTAGAAACATCAAAATCCACAAGGAGAGTATTAACTATTAGGGCCCAGAACAGGGGAGCACTACACGATCCCTGCGGACAGCCTTTAAACATATCCAAATTTATATCTAAATCTTCTGAAAATCCCTTAAAAACAATTCTTCTATTACTAAAATAATCCCTGATAAGTAAATAAAGATCTTTTGTAATCTTCAGCTCAAATAATTTATTTAATACGGAGGACCATCGAACAGAGTCAAAAGCAGCCTTGACATCGAAAGAAACAACCGCGACATGTTCAATACTTTTTATTCTACGTATTTTATCAACTACCCTAAAGAGTGCCAGATTAGCAGATCTTCTTTTCCTAAATCCATATTGATTTTCCGCAAGATGTTGTTTATCATTTATGACATATAAAAGTCTATTTACAATTAGCTTATCCAATACCTTAGCAAAAACCTTTAATAGACAAATTGGGCGATATTTATCTTCATTTTTAGGCAACAAAATTAATCTTCCAATCTTCCAGGCAATAGGAAAAACATGCAAAGACAAACATTTATTAAACAAAATAATAAAAAACGAAGGATAGTTCACAAACAATCTTTTTACAACTCTTGCCCGAATTCCATCCAATCCTGGAGCGGCTCTGTCTCTAAGACTTAAAATGACTTCCCTAATTTCTTCGTAGGTAAAGTCCAATTCACCATCTAAGTCGTCATTACCAAAGTTATCACCATTATTATCAGGATCATCAATTTCATCAGTTTCAATATTCAGTGTCTTTTTAACAATTTTCAAATATTCTTCCTTTACATCCGTAGCCGCTCTATTATCACTATCTCGTAATATAATCTGTTTCTTAATTTTATTCGTAGCAACCTTAAAAATTCCTTCGTAATATTCCTTGTCTTGAATAAAAGCCCTATTTCTGAAATCACCCTTCACCTTTTTAATTTTCTTTTTATAAAAAGCCAAACATTTTTTATATTCTATTTTTCTTCGTATTCTAGTTTCATCATCCAAGTCTTTCACCTGGCAACTCTTGCGGATAGCCCTGACTCTCCTTCTAAGAGTATTCAGCTCATAATTCCACCAAGCAGTACCACTACGTTGTCGTATCTCACACTTTAAATCTCTTCTCATTCTTTCTTCAATTCGCTTCTCCATATACAAAATTAAATCATTAAATTCCCCAGCATCCTTCGTATTGACAATACGGTCTTCAATCTCAAAAATAAACCTTCTCATCTTAACGCAACATCTATCAATTCTTTTAACATTATTTGACAGAATAATATCCCTCTTATCTTTAATACTAACATCCTTTATACTTATCAAAATATAGTTATGATCGCTAAGGGAATTTTCCTCCAATATTTGCATGTCAAAGTTCTCAATAAGAGAATTTGGAGAACACAACACCAAATCCGTATATCCATCTCCACATGAAGAAGAGAAGGTGGGTCTAGAATTTTCTTTGTTCAATAAAATCAAATCATTTAAAATGATAAAATCTGAAGTTAAAACCCCTCTTTCATCAAGACTCTTAGCCCCCCAAATAAAATTCTTTGAGTTAAAATCTCCAATAATAATAAAACTGTCTTTAAAAACAGATATAACTTCTTCTAATTTTAAAAGATACGTATTCAAACATTCCACAGGGGAAAAATAAACTGAAATCACACCATAATTCCTTCCCTCTTTCTGTATTTCAATGGCAACGATAATATCAGAAGCGTGTTTAACTATGAATTCAATCCCAGGGTTTACGACAACAATAGCAGCTCTTCCTGTATCTGCATGGATGGTCCTCCAACTGTTTTTAATATAAGCCATTTTCTTTCCAATATAATAAGGTTCTTGAACTGTAACAATATCAGGGATATCCTCAGAAATATTATCTATTGCAGAGAGCCGGCATGCCGCAGCATTACAATGATTAAGATTACAATTTAAAATGTGCATAGTTAAAAGGATCCAAAATAAAACCATTCAATATAATAATTATAAATTTAAAATCCAATATATACAGTTTAAAAACGATATATACAGTTAAAATCAGCAATAATTATCCTGAACTTACCTGGGAGGCAAGGGTATAGTTTCTTCCAAGATTTTCAATTATATCCTTTCCTAGAAGTCTTCTTTTAGAAATAAATTACACAATAGTTCAAAAGTCTTTATTTCACACAATGTAAAAGCCGTAAATTATTAATTCGTAGCCACAGGAATAAATAAAAAGTTTAAAATTAAAATCAAAATCAAAATCTCCCCACCGCAGAAGCTAAATCACCTCAAGTTTCTAGATCTAAATGTTCCCGAATAAATTTTTTCTCTCTTATAATCGAGGGACACTCTCTCCAAAAGGTATCGTGGTCATATTCCACATTAATACCATATCTATCTAAAGCTTCTTTACAGTTGATACATTTTCTTTTCACTATGACAATTTTTCCTCTCATGTCTACCATTACATGCAGAGCAAACCCTTTCAAACTTACAATTCTTCTTGGTGTGCCCAAATCTAAGACAGTTCATGCAACGCTTAGGTTGAATGAATAATTTTACAGGGTATGCTTTCCAACCAATCATAACTCTATTCCCTTCAAGGATATCTTGCTGACACCTAGCAGAAATCTCAAAAATCCTATGTGAAACTCCATGTTCTTGAGTTTTAATACGAAATAAGGATCTCGAACATTTCCCATCACAAACACAAAATTCATTAAATCTTTTCAAAACCAAGTCTTCTTCAACGGAATCACTAATATTATACAAAATAACCTTCGGCTTAATAAACTTATTCCTTCGAGTCCTAATAAGTGTGTTTAATTTCGGATTCTCCGTAATAGCTTTTTCAACAGCAAGTATATCTGACCTATCTTTTAAATTGATAATCATATCACCATTTTTCTTTCTAAAAGTATTAAAACTTTTAACACCTATATCCTGTGGTTGGAGTTCAGCATTAAGTTCATCATAGACATCAACATCTTTATCAACTGGTCTTATAATCAAATCGTTAGCCCTAGATCTCTTTTCACTGTTTTTTCTTTTTATCATTATTTCTTTGATCATCAACTTCTCTATCTCTCCTACTATCCAGTCTTTCATCAATCATTTGTTTTATCTCCTCTTTGAATTCTAAAAGAGTCTCCTCACTACTCTTACGCATATCTAATTCCATAATCTTAAGCGTAGACGTATGTGCCCATTTCACAACTGCCTCAACCTGAGTATTTAACTCAGAAATTAAATCCTTGGGTACTCGCTTCGTTTTTAATTCATCAATAATCCTATAGAATTCTTTAATTATATTCGACATTTCACTATCTCTTTCACCCATGTTTATAAAATAGACAATAAGAGTAATATAATAAAATTCTAAACAACTGCGGTAAGGGAGACACTAAAAACACTAAAACATATATAAGAACATTTAGCTCAATCAATATCTTCTTAAAATTCTCAATAAAATTCAAAAAATCTAATTCTGAAGAATAAAATAGTCTTAAAACACTTCAAAATAATTTTTAAAGTAAAAACTAAAGTTCTGGCATCAAAATTGAACAAATTGACCACGGGCGGAAAGACTAGAAAATCCAGTGCACCAAAACGTTCTCGGACTCCTTGTCTTCCACCGGGCAGAAAATACTTCATATAATGGTGCACCAAATGATTTTCCTATACTTTACGAACATCTACATGCAATGTAAACAATGTCCTCCACGTTAGGCCTCGTACACTCAAGATTTTCAGAGTTCAATATCTCAATAAATGTGCAAGATAAGATTGTGCATTTAATATTACAGTAAGATACAAGTATACCGAACAGAATTCTTCAATCAGATAATATTTACACACAATATTTAACGAATAATGCATATAAACTTACCCGACCATGCCAGGTGGGCGTTTCAGCAAGGTCGATTTCGAAAAACACTCATAAAAACTTAAATATGCACTTTCTTGCACGAAACTTGATATATCTTGATAGCGGAGAACATAACCAATGCAAAGAACACACTCAAAAATCAACACAAGCAATTTACACAGATTTAAAAGTCTTTAAAATACTAGCCACACACTTTCCACGCAACAAGCACTTCGGCGTTGCCAGAACTCCACCACCGTAACGGTGTCTTTCAATGATGTTTTCTTGGTGGGTGGTAGCTGGGTACCTGGAGCTCTCCATATGAAAGTCCGACGAGAATCAGACTGCAAGCTAAACCTGAACTCGTCGGAAAACATCACGCAAGCCCACTTGTTGCGGTGTCCACAATGCATGCTCCTTACTCCAGGCTAACCGCAAGCGACAGTGAGTTGCAGTAAGTGGAACGCATCTGACAGGTCTACGAGCATATAGACCAATCTGCCCTAAGCGTCTGTACACGGTCTACTTTGAAATTGTCGTACCAGTGGCTGAAGAGAGCTGACGAGACAGGTCTGAGGCTGTGCTCCGTCTGTTTCTTTTGGCAGTAACTGCCAAATACCGGTCCTCATTCGGCATTGTAATTCGGGGGCGACCTGTGCTGTGACGTTTACTCACATTACCATCATCTTGGAATCGTTACCAAAGCCTGGAGATGACACTCTTGGCAATTCCAAGTTTGTCTGATACTTCCAGTTGGGTAGGCCCACATTCCAGACGGCCGATAATTCTACCACGTAAAAAATCCTCCAAATGCGCTCTTGTGTCATAACTATTCGGTTATTGCACTGAAATGCTTATAAAGTGCCTGCGAACAATTTTACTTCTTTGCCTGTATTCCTTATATATCACTCTCTTACATTTCCGTCATTGTGACGTACCGTCGGTGTCATCTGGTTACTTCCTGAAATTTGCATATGATTCTTAGAGATGTATGTAGTGATTTTACAGGTGATATATTTACTTTAGAGTTCGATTTGCGCCTGACTCCGAATTATCCTTAATTTATGGACATGAGTGTATTATGTTTCTTACACTCGTTAATCTGAAGTTTTATATGCTTTTAATTTCTGAGATGACTAACTTTATTTTATTTTCGACTTAATAAAGAAATTCTCGTCAATTCAGGGTGCCAAGAAATCCTCGACAGTGGCCGATTATCGTCAAAAAAGAGATATATATGCAATCGAGGGCGAGAGAAAATCTAAATTGATGTGAATTCTTAAACCAGATTCGTTAGAAAATTAAACTAGAAATCGTCAACGTACATGCAAGCAAGAAGAGCTCATCACAAATTTCACATGATTCGCAAAATCATGTATGCAAAATACCAGTTTAACTATATGTCGCACATCATTTGTAAAATACATACCTTGATAAATTACCATAAGACGTAAAATGTTTTAAATAGGATCTATATAGCAAGACTTACGTTTTTGATAAAACTTTTATAATATTTCTAATGAAAAGGTAAAGATTTGTTATATTTCTCATTTTTAAGTGATATCTTCATTTTCAGGTTTTGCAGGTCAGTTGGCTGCCAAAGCTTCAGATTCTCAGTCTCAAGTTCAAGGTGAATAGTTATTTACATTCTAAGTATACATATAGATTTTTATTTAGTTAAATATATTATACTGTATAATGATTTCGTTTAAGAAAACCAAATGCATTCTCACCTTAGCACATTTTAATAACTATGTTATAAAGAATAAAAACAGCAAGCGAAACGTACTGAATGATAATTCGCATAATATCGCAGACAAATTAACTATTTTATATCCGTTTTGCAACACTATTTTTTGTTAAAAGCTTTTGAACTACCTATGTATGATTACTGAACATTTTAATATTATTTTTAATTTTAGTCACAGATCCTTACCAGTTACTGAGTGCTGCAAGCAGTCGACTAGCTTCCCAAGGTAAATTTTAGTTATTTATTGGGATTATTGAATAATATTTAATAATAGTAAATATATTCAAGAAAACTGCAAATAGAACAAGAACAAGGTCAAATAATAAATATTTAAATTTATTAATTTAATTTCAACTGAAATAAAGGTCCAGTATTTTTTCAATTTTTTCTACCCCCTATTTTTAACTAGAAATTGAAACTCTATATTTTCTTTTTACAATGAAACTAATTTAGAACCATATCCAGTATTCAAAAAATTCTAAATTTCAGTACACAACTTTTCTAGAAAAGCTTTCTCTCTCTCTTTTTTCCCCCTGCATCAACAGAACAGCTGATCTACTAAGTTAGATGCTCATCAGTCTTGTACACATGTATATTTGTACTTAAAAGGAATAATAAATGAATAAAGAGGAATCCTCATCTATGACAGCTATCATGGCGCTTGTACAGAAATTAAAATATCGGTCAGCAAAATAGACATACATAAGAAACAATTATGCAAAATTAAAGCTTAATTTCCAGAAGTAATGGAAAACAGTTAGTAAACAATTGATTAGGAAATAAAAGATTTTGAATGGAAAAAAAAATTAAACCTTAACACCAATCAAAATACATGAAAATATTTTGCACAAATCCCATTAAAACCCTAAACGTATTTACAAAGTTATACACACAAAGAATTTTTTAGTTTTAACATTGTAACAAAATAAAGAAAACACTTAAAAACCATGTAACTTTCAAAATAAATATTTTAAGCTGCAGTCGTTTTCTTATACGAAATATATACACTGAAGAGGCATTACATTAATACCACCCTCCATCTATAATAATGGGCTTGCCCAGGAACAAAAGCACTGCGCATGCACGGCTGATGTTGGAGATGATGCAGGTATGCATCTTTTCATTACGAGGCCGTCAGGTACTTGTCTCTTTTGAAGAATATTCTTTACGGTTGTATCACAAGTCAGGCCCTAATGGGACTTTTTCAATAACTAGCAGGAGTAGGGATCACTATCACCTGCTGGGCAGGCCAGTATACCGACCAAGCATCAAAGTATCATTACGAGGTCCATTTTGGGATCCGTCCTGTATCTGTTTTATGTGGCGGATTTTCCTAGGGCGCATATCAACTCAAATCACTTCCTAGGCAGTGGCGTAAATAAGGGTATGCAAAGAATGCCGTCGCATAAACGCCCGAAGGCTTAGGGGAGCCCTTGAATGTCCTGCTGAACTACATTATATGTTTAAACTTTAAAAGACGATGGACTCTTTTATAAATACTATATAGTATATATATGATAGAATCCATCTTCTTTTAAATTTTCAGGGGCCCTCTGTGTCATATGACACAGTAAGGGGGCTCTTGGAAGCAGACAAAAAATGCTGAATTCAGTGTTATATACACCGTCTATATACAGATATTTCTGTATATAGACAGAAATTGCTTTGTTATTCATTTGAACTTAACAAAGACTATTGCGAACCATGTTGGTTAATTTCAAATAAGGACAGATGTGGTCAACAGGAATACAGCACTGGCAAACGTTACCCATAAGGAAAAAAAAAAAAAAAAAGCGCGAGGGAAGTTCTCATCATATCGCAAGCTGTATTGAACAGAAAAAATTGGGAAGCAAATGACTGTATTGATCAAATATGGGGAAAATCTGTGAGAGACGAAATCAATTTCAGTTAGTTTTAGGGAAATTAAATCCAGATAACTTTAGTAAAAAGTAACAATGGTTGCATACATAGCTATTTTTTTCCCTGATGTCAAATTATTGAAAGAATATCACGTTGTAGAGACATTAGGTATTTTTTTAAAGCAGGAGAAGCAAAATGAGACAAATGAGAAATGCAATCGCCAGGACACGAACCGCGGATCTCTAGAATACGCGCAAAGCGTGCTGACCACTATACCACGTAGGCATTCCAAGAAGGCGGGAGAAATGCCTTACATACTCCCCCTCTTAAAGGGCGACTGAAGATTAGGGGACCCACTCGCCAAATCCTGGTGGTGGAGAATCATCATCCACCACCATTTTAGTTCGGGCGCCATTGTAAAGTCATTAGGATTTTATTTGAAAGCAGGAAAGATGAAAAATGAGCAATGCCTTGGTCGGGACTCGAAACACGAACCTATCGATATGAATGTGCTGACTAACCATTACATCACGACCACAGTCGTTGGTTGTAGTCATATCTTCACATTACAGAAGTGTTTTAAATGACGAAAAATGTTTTGTCTATGTCAAATTTAAAAAAAAATCGCATGTAACGAAATTTAATTTTTCATTCGACTCCCGTACGACAAAAACTGACCGGGATATTTAATTCAAAATTTGCAATTTTTTGATGTCATTTTCAACTTGCCTTGAGGGATCGGGTAATTAAGTTAAAATTATTCGAGGAATAACTTTAAATGAAATGCAGCAAAAAGTGTGTATAATTGAATAGGCGATACAAGGAAGTCATGCGTCTCCATATCAGATTTTTAACTATTAATACTAATCTTATAAAAATCATTGTCAAAATGTTGGCTCCTGGAAACCTCGATTTTTTGGGGGGAGAGGAGCTTAGTACTGTAAATTTATTAGGGGGCCAAGAATTGTTTTTGCATAGGGGCCCTAGAGTTCTAGTTACGCCACTGTTCCTAGGGTGCTATGCGGATGATACAGCCTTGGCTGTTAAGTCCGCAAATGCGAACCACTCAGTAAGGAAGCTCCAGGATATTTGCTCTGTTTCGAGAAATGGTGTACCTGATGGCGTATCTCAATAAATGCGAGCAAATCCCAGCTACTAATTATTCGCAGAAGATGCTCACAGACTCCTCTTAGAAATAAATTATATCGCTTTAACGAGAAGATTCCTCAGGTCAGTAAGGCTAAGTACCTGGGAATCATGTTTAACGAAAGACTTAGTTGGACTGATCACATCATGAACAGTCTGTTCCCTCTGCTGGAAAAATATTCGCATCTTGATCTGCGCAAGAAAAGACATATACTTACGACTATCCGGCCTATCATCACTAATGCGTCACCGGCCTGGGCGGCAGCCTTCCACAAAGACTTAAATATTTTACAGGTCACCCAGAATAAGTTGCTTCGACTGATTGCAAATGCTCACTTTCATGTGAGCAAAGCTACACTCCACAGAGACTTGAAAGTGGACACGATCGAAGATCACCTAAAAAAACTCAATAGGGGATTTTTCGCTAAAGTTATAAAGTGTGAGCACATGAATTCTTCTAACGTCTTCATGTACGAGATTTTGGAAGAGGAGAGGAATATTAGCCCCTTGGCGGCGCACCTTGTCTGTGATTCAAATTTTCCCCCCTGATTAATTAGACCCCATTGAGAAGTGGACATAAATTTCACTTATCAGCTTCTCGCTGTTTCACTGTTTTTACCTTTTGCTTTCGCAGTATTACCTACTACATTATGACTGTTTATAGCGTATTTTCGTGTGCTGACTATTTTCTGTTTTGACTATATATCTTTACTACGATTGGTTGTTTCTCATACCTGCGATGTTTCGATTATCCCCATCTTAGACCTACTTCTCACGTTAGGATAGTTTCATGTGATACACCGTTTTGGCAAAATTTCTCATCTAAGCGGGACACTCCGCACATTTCGCGGCATTCTCGGCAGTACCCTATCAGTCAGACAGTCAGTCAGTTTCATTACGAGCTCCTGAATAAGGACAGGTATCTTAGACCTTTCGCTGCGCACATGCTCGCATATAACCAAAATTTTCCTACTTGACAAGTCAGATTTTAATGTGCTAAGACTCCCGCTGGACTTGCAGCGAAACTCTTAGGACTTAAATTTTCAGCAACTTTTCCTACGTTTGTATTCGTTTGTAATTTTATAATCACTGTAACCTGGTTCAGTACTTGCACCACAAGACAAAAATATGCTATCCCAAAATGAGGGAACGAAAACTCAAAACTACGTTATGCCACTGCCTAGGCCCGTGATGTCTCGAGGTCCCTTACTGCACCCTTCATCGCCACTCTCCTAGAAAACCATTGTTCAAGGATACACCACTGTCATGCTGCACTATCTCAAATGAGCCGGAACAAGTCGTACCATCTGTACAATATTAGCGGTTAATCAGCGTAACTTAAAACTCGGAATTCTTTGCAAACGGCAAGACGAACATTTGTGCACTAGGAAAACGCTCGTTTTTATTTTTATGCTCTTCTCCTTGTAAGTATGACTTTTCTGCTTATGCAATTTGCCAGCTGAGTATGATGATGATTAACTTTGCAGACAGGGATGCCGTATCCCACAGCTTATCGCAAACTTCTGAAAATGAAAGCTCTGACTCTGGAAAAAATATGAAAGCTCCGTAAAAGTCCGTAATGCCTCGAACGGAAACCCACAAGAGATGTCACAGAAAAAAAGACGCCGAATGGAAAAAGCGAAATGAGTGAAACGCTCACGTAGAGATATAGTGGATTGTCGATAGAGTTCGAAACTTTGAGCACGAGTTCTAGATATGAAATTTTAAATAACAGCGAAAACTTAGACGATGGAATGGAACAAGGTAATAAGGAAGCACCCGCTACTAAGAAGTACAAACGTGATCCGCATCGGAAAATACCGAATCTTACCAGTACGCAAAAGGAAATTAATTGGCATGAGCTTCGTAAACATATCAAAGCAAACCTTAGAGTTACAAAATTAGAGAGTAGAATCGATGGAGATAATCTGAGAATTCAACTGAAGCGTAAAGAAGACTTTCGCCTAGTGTAAAGCACATTAGAGAAGCAAAAAATTCCTTTCCATACCGTTTTACTTAATAGCGACAAGAATTTGATAATCGTAATTAAAGATGAAATAAAATAGGAAATTGAAATCCACAGCATAACAGTCATTAAATGCCACCAACTTAAGAGGATGAGGGATGAAGTACTTACGTTACTTCCTGTTTTTTTATCTTGAAACACAAAAACACCCATAGGCAAAGATGTATTTCAAATTACACACATTGCTGACATGA